ACCTTTTCACAATAATATCTGAGAGTACCAGGGTGTTCTTATGTGGGCAGACCTTGCGAGAAGGAGTGTTGTAGCATGGCTGGCTGAATTTGGACTCTTCAGCCCATTTTAGCATGTGCAAGCTCCTGATTGCTCTCTGTCCAAGCTTACACGTGTGTTTTCGAACCTGTGTTCATCACATGGTGGCAGCGGTGGGATGGCCCCAATAAATGCAAAGAGGCAGGATCTTCAGCTGTAAAAAGGGAATACAAGGCATTTTTTAAAAAAAAAAAAAACAGACAGTGTTACAGAGAAAGGCCTCTCTGAAAAGCAGTGTTTTCAGGCGCCTTGCAAATATTAGGAGGGAGAGGGCCACCTACAGCTCTACCAGGAATTCATTCCAGAGTATTGGTGCCACCACGAAGAAGGCCCTGCTTTTAGTAGATGATTTCCTGGCCTCCTTTGGGGTAGTCATCTGAAGGCTCGTTGCCTGGGAAGACCTAGCGGTGCAGGTAGATGACATTGGGAAAAGACACCATGCTACTTTCATTCCTGCCTCCATACTGCAATTAATGTTATGCAAACCATGATAGCAAAATCTTTCCATAATTTTTAAAAATGAACCCAAGAGAAAAGACAATATATTTACAGGGGAGCTTCTTGTACAAGAAGCCCTACAAAGGAATTAGGATCACAGTACTGGAGAAATTGGGACCGTTTGCTCCCATAATTCTTTTCCGTTGACCAATTGGGGTGAGGCTCACAGGCACTGAAGTATAAAATATTTGGAAGGCTGGCATTTCCCTGCCTTTGAACTAGTGCTCTGGACCAAGTATTTATTTATTTATTGCATTTATATGCCGCCCATCTAGACATAGTCTACTCTGGGCAGCTCACAATTTAGAAGATAAAAACAATTTAAAATATACAGTTTTACATTAAAAACAAAATGATATAAAATGTAATATAAATTTACGATTCACCATCTCCGAACTGCTTCTAGCGACCTTGATATTGCAACTAGCATTTTTACCTCTTGCGCCTCAGTTCATTCATCATAGTTTTTTAAAAATGATTATTATGACCCTAAATCAGCCATGTTAGATATACAAGACTAAAATCCAATGACAAATACATATAGTATTCGCCATCGATCCAAAACAGGCTATAATTCAGAAGACAATTAAGAAGGAGCTCTTTAATCTGATTACCGCAGTGATTTAGCTATCTCTTTTCTTCCTGCAAAAGTTGCTGCTCAGACTTTTTGCAACCTCAGCTGTAATTGCACTCGAGGAATCGGAGAGGAGAAAAGAAATGTAAAAATCATTGAGTCTGTCTGGATGATGCTTTAAAATTAGGGAAATAAGTAGGTTGCATGAATCTTTAAAAAAGGTGCAGTAAAGCAGAGCGTGTTCCACAGTTTCCACCATACCAAATTGGCAGGGGCAAAAACATTGGCTTAAGGGAGACGGGAGTATCTTCTCTCGAAAAAAGGCTGATGGCAAAGGATTGAAACAGGCCAGGGTAAAAGCTGTTCAGTGTCTCGTAATTTCTAAATTATAAAGGTAATCTGCTGGGGTAAAGATCTTACTGTTATTCCCAGCCACTGAGTAGTATGGGACCCATACAGTGGTGCCTCGCTAGACAGTTACCCCGCATGACAGTTTTTTCGCTAGACGTTGACTTTTTGCGATTGCTATAGCGATTCACAAAACAGTGATTCCTATGGGGGAATTTCGCTGCTTTGCAAACCGATTTTTACTAGATGATGATTTTGACAGCTCCCTCCGTGCTTGCAAAATGGGTGTTTTCGGGACCTAAGCTTCGCAAGACAGCGATTTAAACAGCTGATCGGCTGTTCGCAAAGCGGCTTTCCTATGGTCGATCTTCGCTAGACAACGACAATTCTTCCCCATTAGAATGCATTAAACAGGTTTCAATGCATTCCAATGGGGAAATGCTTTTCGCTAGACAATGATTTCGCTAAACAGCGATTTCAGTGGAACGGATTATCATCGTCTAGCGAGGTACCACTGTATTCTGTTGATTTGGAAGGTTATATCCCAAATCCACTTCTCGATAGCTTCTTCAGCTTTCAATAAATGCTGGATGTAACAGGGCTGGAGGGAATAACCGACAGGACAACAGTTTTCCTTCCTGCCCAGCCTATGGGGTAGTTATTTGTTAAAATCAGAGATGCTGAACCCATAGGTTTAAGCTTGAATGTCAGCCCAAGATTGATTGTTTGAAGCCAAGCACTTTCGTTAAGTGGGACCCTTCCAGATTCTGCTCAGAGGAGGGCGTTGGGGCCACAGCATGGCACATCAAATAAAATTCTCAAGAATTTAGACTGTACTTCTGCAAGGAAGTTCTTATGTACAATTCATCATGGATTTTTTTGTGTCTCTTTTGGTGCTTCTCTCCAGATGCCCCCAGGCTCAGCAGGAACCCCCGAAGAAATAGCACCTGTTGGCCTCAAGACAACGGGTTTCTCTGCTTTTGCTCCTTGCAAGCCCACCCTCGCCTCATCATCCAGTGGGAAGTGGATGGGGAGGCTGTAACTGGGCGCAGCAGCAAAAAGAATCACCACATCACTGCTTTGGTTGAGGGCAACGAGGTGACCAGTTCGATCAACTGGACCGGCAGCCGGCAGGTGGACCACACAATCGCCTGCCTTGGGCGTAATGCATTTGGAGTCTTCGCCAAGCAATTCCATCTTAGTGCCTCCACCATCACTTCCTCGTCCTCCACAGGTGAGGCATGCCGCCAGCGTCTGGATTTATTTTCACATTTCCCAAGGTAGGAGAAAAGTCTAATCTAAAAACCCCAATCCTAAGTACGTTTTACTAGCAGGTAGCTGGTTGGATAGCTCAGTGGTTGCGTCCAAACCAGAGGTTGCGGGTTCGAATCCCCATTGTGCATCTTGAGAAGGACAGCCAGCCTGGGTGGCCTTGGGCAAGCTGCACAGTCCCAGGACATCCCCAGAAGAAGGGAATGGAAAAAAAACACTTCTGAGTTCTCTCTACCTGGACAACCCTGAAAAGGGTCATCGTAAGTCACTTGATGGTACATCATGCTGATGCTAATGCAGTTCTCCAAGATTTTTTTAAATCTTTTTAAGCATTCCACGACCTGGAAATATAAATTCTCCTGTGCTAAGTGTTTGGCTCCACCATCTCAAATGAGTAGGAGATCACAGAGATCATAGGAGAGACAACCCTAACCCGTACATGCTCAGAGATGCTCTTGCAACACATGACTATTATTCAGTCTTCCTTAATCTACCATTTCAATTTCAATTTACAGTGGTGCCTCGCTAGATGATGATAATCCGTTCCACTGAAATCACTGTCTAGCGAAATCATTGTCTAGCGAAAAGCAAATTGTCGTCTAGCAAAAATCAGTTTGCGAAGCAGGGACCAAACATTGTCCAGCGAAATTCCCCCATAGGAATCACTGTTTTGCGAATCGTTATAGCGATGGCAAAGAGTCAGTGTCTAGTGAAAAAACCTGTCATGTGGGGTAACTGTCTAGCGAGGCACCACTGTATTGTCATTGAACATATATACATTGAACATATATACACATACAACGAAATTCACAAAGAGCACTCGGAGGCCAGACCAAAACACACACACACACAACCTCATAACAATCCCTACATTCCAGAACCAGACACTACATTCAAAATTATAAGTTCTGCCTTGGACTCCTTTAGTGATCTCAGAAGCTCCTTCCCTTTAATCCTTACTGAAATTAGAGCCAGTTAAAACTAGGCTTTGGATATTTGTGGTCCTTTAGATTTCGGTCCCATCCTTCTTATTTTTCAAAGCAAAATATTCCAGAACATGATTGTCATTTGAGGCATCCCCACCTATGTGGCTCTGTGTCTCCAAATTGTCTCCAGCGTATCAAGTGGTGATCTCCAAAAGAACCTGTAGTTAACAATAGTGCCCAGGTCTTGAAGACTCAAAGCTATGGCTTCCTTTAAAGAGTCAATCTATCTCATGTTCGGTCTTCCTCTTTTCCTGCTCAGCATTCATATCTTTTCCCCAGTGAGTCTTGTTGCCTCGTGATGTACCCAAACTAGAATGAGATGATCCAATCTGTATGTACCGATGATTTTCAAAGAGCTAACCTGTGACTTTTTTTACCAAGTCCTGTTCAATAAACATGAGGAGGAAGTGTTAGAGCCAAGTTTTAATCTTAAAACTTCAGAGAGGGAAGGGATCCTATGGATCGTTGATCCAGACTTTGTCAAAGAGGCACAGTGGAGGATTAGAACTCCCAGCCTGTGGTTCCTCAGCCAGATGCCCTAAACTACTGGCAAGATGTTCTCCCTGGTTCCCTTCCCTCCATACACCTCCCTCCTCCTTGCTGCGCCTTTGTTTGCCTTTTTTGATCCCAATTCCCATCACTTGGCACCTAAGGGCCAAGGAACCTTTGGTTCTTGAGATATTTCTTTCTATAACTCCCATCAGTTCCACCCTAAAGGTAAAGGTTCCCCTTGACAATTTTTGTCCAGTCGTGTCCGACTCTAGGGGACGGTGCTCATCCCCGTTTCCAAGCCATAGAGCCAGCGTTTTTGTCCGAAGCAATCTTCCGTGGTCACATGGCCAGTGCGACTTAGACACAGAACACTGTTACCTTCCCACCGAGGTGGTCCCTATTTAACTACTTNNTTGCATTTGCATTCTTTCAAACCCTACATGGCCAAAAACATGGGAATGTGGGAGTTCTCATCTCAAACATCTGGAGAACCAGAGGTTCACCACCCCAAATAAAGCGTGAAGGCAAGACAAGGAAAGCCTCTTTCCCTTTCTCTTTTTACCCCATGTTTCTTTGATATGAGTGGAGAAAAAAAACAGTGAGAAGCTGGAGACACCATTGTCAAGCAAGGGGACCCCGGAGACCATGGTGTCACTGCTGGGAGGTGCTCCCTGGTAGATGGCCAGTAATGCAAACCAGAAGCCACACAACGAGATGTGGGTTGATCTAAAACCTTGGCATCTCACCTTTTTTATCACTATCCCAGCTTTGATCCATTTGTATCACGGTGCCAAAGCATTAAGTGATGGGAGAAACAAAGATAACCCTTCAGCTCTGGAGGAACTAGACAATGAGTGAAATAAACACTTTAGAACCAGTATTATTGTGGTACATTTGGTATCCTGCAACTCATCAGAGTGGTGCCCTCACAGGGAGTCCAAAAATACAAGCAGCTGGTTTATTTCATATCCACAAACCAGTTCTATGAGTCTCCTATCAGGAGCAGGTCTTTTGTACAGCTAATGGATCTTGGTGATTCAAAACCAGGATAATGCAAGTGATGTAATTCACAGCTATGTGTTGTTGTTGAAAAAATGGTTTCCCCCCCAACTACGTATTTGAGGACTGTAGCTAAATCAGGAGAGACAGGGAAGAATGAGGATCATAAGATGACATTATTATCCCTGCTCTGTCGCAGCAGTTCAACTTAGCAAATCCTGGCTCAGGTACAACCTTGTTTGTATCCTTCCGACAGACCTGTGGGCTTAAATGTTAACAGCTGCATGGCAAAGGAAAAGGGGCTTACCCCAGTGAAAATGTTGCTAGCATTTCTCTCCAAAAGCTCATAGCTTTTTGAAGATGGGGAAACGAGGAATATTTAACTCGAGGGAGGATAGAAACTGAGATTGCTGAACACCCATCACTTTGCTTCTCCTGTGATCTTGATTTCTCATTGCAGAAAACCAAAAGGCGGTGGTCGTTTCTGGCTTGTGTGGCGTTTTGCTCACGGCAAGTCTTTTCTTGATCGGCCTCTTTCTGTTCACGTGAGTTTTAGCCTCTCTTCTTTCTACCCCTGATTCTCCCTGGATCTTGCCTCTCTGCTTAGGATCATCAGTGACAGTCCTTTCTTTTATTAGTCAGAGCACAACTGAACATGTACTTCTTTTGAACTACAACTCCCATAATCCCCAGTCAGATAAAATGGGGGGGCTTTCTTAGTCATGCACAGGATCATGCTCCCAATTGCACCACCAAGATACTCCCCAGCATCTTGGCAATTAGCTGCAATTAATCATGGGAAGTTAAATTTATGTAAACCACCAACAAACACTGGCTTACGTTGAGAGACACTTACAGTATCGAAATCCATCCATCCTTAGGTTTTATAAGAGGAGGAAAACGCCGTCAAACCCAGGACACTTCGAGGCTGTAGAACCTGTACACGCAGAACCCCGAAAGGCAACCAACATGAGTCTGATCTACAGCAACATTTTACCTCTGGTAGGTATCGAACGCAGCTGTTATTTTGGATCTCCTTAGACCACCTGGCAGGACAAAGTTCCAAATAGAGTAGTCCTAGAACGGGCTGGAATTTTGAGCATATGTACATTACTGAAACAGTGACATCTACGCTGGCTTAGGCATGTCATGAGAATGTCTGATGGTTGGATTCCAAAAGATCTCCTGTAGGGAGAATTAGTGCAGGGAAATCGCCCCAGAGGGAGACCATAGCTGTGATACAAGGACATCTGCAAGCGGGATCTGAAGGCCTTAGGAATGGACCTCAACAGATGGGAAACCCTGACATCTGAGCATTTCAGCCTGGAGGCAGGCGGTGCATCACGGCCTCTCCCAATTTGAAGAGAACCTTGTCCAGCAGGCCGAGGCAAAGAGGCAGTCCCAAAAGCAGCAATATCAGGGAGCTGGACAGGGGACAGACTGGATTTGTCTTCAGTGTGGAAAGGATTGTCACTCTCGAATTGGCCACCTCAGCCACACTAGACGCTGTTCCAAGTCCTCCATACAGAGCATGTTACCATCGTCTCTGGAGACTGAAGGATGCCTATGCCTAGACTATAAAGTAAATTGACTGTGATGATGACACTGTTCCTTTTCCCCCCCAGAAATTGCTGGCAGGATAGCTCAGAGGTTTAGGTATTTGGTTGTGGAGCCAAAGGTTGGGAGTTCGATTCCCCACTGTGTCCCCAGGGAGAAAAGCCAGCCTGTGTGGCCTTGGGCAAAAAGCTGATATAAATGTGTTCATTGTTATCTTTGCATTTCTTGTGATTTGTGTCCTTTATAAACTCGCACGGACAATATTTTGGACATCCAGCGAGTTTAGCAGTACGTTCTGAGCAGGAGGCTTTCAGAGTGGATGTGTGTTGCTCATACAGGGAAGACTGCAGTCTTTGTTTCTTTTCCTTTAGGGTCGAAGAACCCCTCACATCGGTCAGTTCAAAGCCGCGGAAGAGAAGATTCCGAAAAGGGGCCCGATTCGCACTGCTCCCACTCCGGCTCCGGATGAGACAGAGGATCTCCATTATGCATCTCTGGACTTCGATCCGAAAAAGAGAGGCAAGCCGGTTCCAGAGGAAGACTCTGTGGATTATTCAGAAGTCAAACCGAAATAAAGGCTTTCTCCTTCAGCTGTCCACAAGGTGGTCTCGGGGGAATAGCTCCTTTGGTACAGTGATGACTATTTCAAATCTTGAGTGGATGGAATGTTTCTTACCAAGGAGTGCACAACGGAGATGGATCCAACTGATGCATGGGGTAAGAAGGGATAAAAAGAAAATCTTCAGGTACTCTGTTGTCCATCATTTTCCAAATCCCAGAAGATAGCGTGGGAGAAGCCTCAAGAAACAGCAGATATTGGAACAGGACGACATTACAGCAGTTCCTGTCCTTCTTCCCATAAGCTGAGAAGGAGGAACCAGATGGAGGTGGACAACAATGGATTTAGCTAGTGACCTCATCAACAACAAACTGAATGATAGTGGTGAACTATGTGTGTCTTTAATTTCTATATCATTGCCTGTCCTCAGAGTGATTGGCTAAATTGCTGTGATGTCGCAGAATGTGTGTTCCCTGGTAAGGGAGAACAAAAATATCAATAAGGAAGTGTTCAGCATTAAAAAGAAATATTGCACAATTCTATTTTTCTAGAACTATTTTCAGGAAGCATTACAAATTCTTTCTGGCTCTGCATCTGTTTGCTTTTAAATTTTATTTTATTTATTCGACTTGTATGCCGCCCGGACTCTGCAAGTTAGGATGTATTCTGGAACACACCTTTACGAAGGGGAATTGATCAAATGGTTCCGATATATGGATGACATCTTTATGATTTGGAGGGGTTCAGAGACCTCATTGATGCAATTTTGTGGGTGGCTGGATATTCTGGACAGCAATATCAAATTTGACACCAAATACAACTTTAATGAAATACGCTTTTTAGACCTCACCATCAAGAAAGAGTCTGGGAAATTATACACTAGTTTATATAGAAAGCCAACAGGCTGCAATACTTACCTGAGGTTTGATAGCTTCCACCCTAGACCTCTGTGTCAGCATCTCCCCTATGGCCAATTTTTGAGAATAAAGAGAAATTGCATCATGAGAGAGGACTGTGAGCAGGGATCCCAAATGCTGAAAGACCAGCTAAAAGATAGTGGTTATCCACCAGGACGAGGTACAGTGATCTAAATAAAAAAGTAAGGACATCTACGAATCATGTAAACTGTATATTGACATATGACCATGTAACAAATCAACTGA